GGAAAAAAAAAACATTTGAATTTCTCCCTTAATACTCCATGAACTATATTTTATCAATCTTTGCCTCCCTAACCTGTTGAATTGATTTCATGCTTGCCCCTCGAACTATTTTCAGTTCCACCTTACACCTTGAACTAGTAAACTTATCTTTACTTATCCCCTAAACTATTAAATCCAATATCTATTTGTCACCTTTAATTTATTACTATGTGGGTATTTTAAATAAAATTATGAAAAGAAAGTGATAGTTCCAAGGGGATGTAGGATTATAGTACTTCAAGGGGAAGCAGGGAATGAATTTAGTAGTGTATAGGGTACATAGACACTAAAAAAAATCCAGGGCAAGAAGGAACAAATCTAATAATTTATGAGGTAAATAGGGACTGAGTAATGAAATCTTGACGTGTATAAGAGTGACATAAGGTTGAAATGTTTAACATATCAAAGTGAGAATGCATAACAGTTGAGGTGTACCAAAAAAGAAAATAAGCTAAATTTTAAATCTCCTAAAAAGGAAGAAATATTCATGAATATAAGTACTTGATATTTACAAAGTTAAATATATAGCTGACAAGTCTATTTTGTAAAACGAAAAAGTTTTTTGGCTCGCTGTTGGACCGCGAGCCAAATAGCAATGTTCTTTTGTAAAATGGGTTGTCAAGTTTATGTCATGTGAGTTCTCATGTTAGTCACTTCGGTATGAGGATCACATGATAGTAGGTTGACAATCCATTTTGTAAAATAATTGTGAGTTCATATAGCTAGTTTTCTCATTTATAAATTACATATCTCAAAATTGCTTGTAAACATATATATCCTATATATGGATTTCAATTTTTTTTTAAAACGTACATGTATAAATCAGTCGGCTTTAATAGGCAGTATTAAGGGCAACAGTAACGAGGAGCTTCCAAATTTGAAAACGGACTGTTTTAAGGAAGTTCACTGCATCAGAATTTCTATTTTTTATTTACACGACAAAATTGCCCCTACGAAAAAAGGCTACTTTCATGAACATAAATGCTCGAGATTTACGTATTAACAAATTTTCACTGTAGACCCAAACCAACTTTTAATTATTAAAATCGACCCATTTTTTTTAACTATCAAAATCGACTCACTTTATGCTACGTATGCTTAATAACATTTCCTAATTAGTCGGGGTTGCCAACCCCGACTGTTTAGGGCATTAAAAATCGGGTTTAAGGCTTCTAATTAGGGTTTAACAACTCCTAAACAGTCGGGGTTGGCAACCCCGATTAATTAGAAAATGAGATTAAGCTTACGTGGCATAAAATGGATCGATTTTGGTAATTAAAAAAATGAGTCGATTTTGGTAATTAAAAGTTGGTTTGGGTCTACAGTAAAAATTTGTTCTATCTCGAAATTGCATGTAGACAGACATTTATTATATTTAAAGGGGCTTTTTTGTGAACTTATAACATGCGGAGATCACTCGGCTTTGCGGAGATCGCTAGGCTTTGAAGGCAGTCCTGAGGAGCTTCTAAAATAGAAAAAATACCCCTATTTCTTGGATCAATTTACTAGAGAATATCATGACCGAGCATGGCCATAGTGCTGACTGCTGAGCAGAGGTGATGGCATTCTTGTTAATATCTAGAGTAATATGGGTTCTCTAGATTCACGACCCTGACGTGAAAGAAGACCGAAGGAAACCTGACGTGCGGGCCCACAATTAGCTCGTGCGGCAGTCGCTTCAATCCGTCTACGTGGCTTGCCAACTGAGATCCACGTCCAGTCTAAACCTGGCAACGTGTGCGTGTTGGGATATATATAGGCAAAATAACCAAATTTGTATATTTTATTTACCCATTGACATGTTGACATATAGTTTTTTTCCGGTACCACATTGATATATTTTCTAAACTCCGGCGACACATAGGTCTTAAGTTTGGACGGATCCAATTTTTCGGCCATTTTTCTCACGTGACGGCTCACGTGACTCTAACGTGGCCACAACGTGGACTCTAGCGTGGCGATAGTTGGGATGAATAAATTTCTTTGAAAGGGTGCTTGTTCTCAGATTAGGGGTTTTCTGGTCTTCCTCCCTTCGTATACCTCCGTCTTCTTCTTCGTCTTACTCCATCTTCTTCTTCCTCCTAGGGTTAGGGTTAGGTTCAGTGAAATTTAAATTAGCGATGGATTCTTCATCTTCAAGCTGTCGCTCAAGATCGGTGTCAAGCACGAGCATAGGAAGAAGCAAACAAGGGTTTAATGGAATAAAAGCTATATATATGACATTGGAATGATCTAGCAAAGCAATCTGGGGTGAAGATTTGTAATTGTAGTTTGGAGTGCGAATATTTTACTTCTATGACTGATGAAAATCCAGGAAGAAGGTTCTACAAATGCCGCAATCATCATGTAAGTTAATTTTGGATTTGATAAATTATTGAAACATAGAGAGATATATGAGAATATCCATGCTAAATACGAATTTTTTGAACAGAGAGAGATATTACAAAACAAAGTGCAATCAATACATTATTCATATATTAATCAGCGTAATACAACCTAATATTATCCAAATCAAATGTAGACCATTAAATTGTTCATATATTATTGAGGATTGCTAAATCATTAAGCAAGAACTCCATCAGTGCACCATGTTTCGCCCTGCATTTGTTTGTTTTTGTTGACTTCCATTCACAATATTCCTTAGCATGCTCTAGCAGTTCTCCGTAGGTCCATCCTTTTTCTCCATTGCAATAGGGACATAGTAATTTGACTTCTGTGATGACCCTCTTGTTGTTGTTTTGCAATTGTTCAAAGCAAAAAACTTTGCATAGTTGACATAGTCATATTGATTGTCGAGGAATTGTTCCATCTGAGAATTTAATTATAAACATGTAATGAAATATGAAGGAAAAGATTATGTAATTACTGGCATATTTACCTCGGCATTATCTTCAAATTGAGAGATAATGATGTCCTCTACATTCTTTCCCCGAGCAGAGACGTTGTCCATTATTGTGCTGTTAAATGAAAGAAAATCTCCTCTCTTACCTCCTACTTTTTAAAGATGTTGGATGTTGATTTAGGCAAAACGATACAGTTCATGTTGTATTTATAGTCTTGAAGAAGGCAGTTGTATGGGGACATGGAATTCCGGTTCACATCCC